TTGATTCTGCGGATTTCCAGAACATTAGCACAAATGAAGTTGTTTGTTCTGCATTGTTCTAAGATCAAGAGAAATTTTAAGTTTTCATATAACTTCCCCAAAATCCTTTTCCATTTAACCATTTCATTACATTTCATTTATTATTGAATTCCAGAAGTTTATTATTGATCTGAGAGCCATTGTATCATCTATTCATTTATACATGATTTGTTCATTCAACAAATACTTGCTGAGCACCCATAGGGACTAGGTAAATACCATCAAGCAAACACATACATGACCAAGTCCTCATGTAATTTACAGTCTAGAGAATTTCTTTTTAGAAAAGAGTCTGAATTCAGGCCCCGGAATTATAGAGGTATCGCTTTAAGGAAGGGTACATATTTCTGTAGGTAAAGAAGGGGGATGATATGATGTGTGTAAATTTAGAATATTGGAGAGAATGTTAGAGAAAGTGAAACATAGTAATGAGGAGCAGTGTGTCAAGTATTTAAGAGGATCTTGTGTGAGGAAAAGCTGTTTATCCGGACCGTGACCATATGGAGGAAGGTGACTGTAGTGCATTATCAATTTTCCACGAGCATCATTTCCTTTAACCAATCAGAAATCATTCCCACCCTCTTATTGCAGAGCTTCTTGTTTTTCAATTTCACTTGCATCCTGGTATTTGCATATCAAATGATGTAAGTCCCCAAATCACAAACCCTCAAAAGGCCACATTGTATGTAGGGGAGGCAGTTACAAAGTTTTTGCATATCAAAGGGAGTAGATACACCAGCATTACTGATTTTATAGAAGAGATAGTACATGGCAAGAATTTTTGTTTGTGTTTGTGTATGTGTGCATGGTTTAACACAATAAAACCTTATTTCTTGCTTTCGTCAAGGTCCAGTGTAGGTCAGTAGGGTGGCTTGGCACCTGTGGTCAGTCATTCAGAGACCCTGCTTCCTTCATTTTCAATCCATGGCCTCACGATCTCTCTGACGTCTAGCTGGTGGATGCAGAGGGAGAAAGTGGAAAAGGCACCAATGCTTTTAACCACCTTGGCCTGAGGATGACACTCATCCCTTCCATTCTTTTTCCACTGATGAAACTACCTGTGTACTCAAGTAGATAATAAGTTCATGAGCAGAAAGCTCATCTGCCTCATTCGGTCTCCTCATTTGCAAAATGGGAGCAATAATAGCTTCTGCCTCATAAAATTGTGAGGGAAAAAAATTCATCAAAGTGCTTAGCACAGTGCCTGATCCATAGTAAGTGGCTCAATAAACAGCGAATGTTTTTGACATCCATAAACAAATTTCCAATTAGAACTAATACCTTTGTGGCATTCTACTCCTTAATCTAAAATCTTTAATAGCTTCTCATTTTCTTTGAATACAAAATAAATCATTTACAAAGCCCTCTGTCATCTGGCCCCTGCCTTCCTTCCCAGTCTCTTCCCACCATTCCTCCTTCATTTATATGATCCAGTTTATATTGGCCTTTTTCTGGTTCTCACACCAAGCCGTTTCCACTGCAGGGGCTGCTGTTCCCCCTGCCTGAAATGCTTGTACCCCAGCTCTTCTCATAGCTGGTTCATTCTCATCCTCCAGGTCTCAGCTCAGATATGTCACCTCCTCGGAGAGGTATGTCCTGACCATCCTATCCAAAGGGGCTTCCTCTAGTTATTCCCTAATGCATCCTCCCTCATTTTTGATATCACAATCTGTAACGCTCTTCTTCATCTATTTACTTATTTATTGTCTGTGTTTTCCATCAGACCTGTTGGCTCCTTGATGCCATAAGCTTTGTTTGTTTATTGCTTTATCTTCTCTTACTAGAGCTGAGCAAAACACAGAGTAGGTATTAAATAATTGATAACTGACTGAATGAATGGATGAATTAATTGAAGATAAATTGAAGATCTTCTCAACTGGGTCTTTCACCTTATCCTATCAACATATTCACATTTCCCTATTATTACTTCTGTACAACTTCCAGGCAGTTTAGCCTTCCCTCTCAGCCAAGCTTCTTGAAAGCACAGTCTACACCCAACGCCACTTCCCTTTACTCTTGAACATACTGTCCTCTGGCTCCTGCCCCTACTATTCCACAGAAACTATCCTTGTTAGGGGCACCCTGTTTACCAAATCTAGTGCCTACTTCTTAGCCCTTACCCCACATGTCAGCTTGACACTGTTGAGTACTCTTCTCTTCCTGAAACTCTTCTGCTTTGACTTCATACTTCTATAGATGCCTGTGTACAGTAATGGTTCTCAAGTAGGGGCAGTTTTACCCTCTGGAGATATTTGGCAATGTCTGGAGACACTTTTGGTCGTTATACCTGGGAGGGTGGCTGCTACTGGCATCTAGTGGGTAGAAGCCTGGGATGCTGCTAAATGTCCTACAGTGTACAGGGCAGCTCCCCATACTTCCAGCAGAGAATGATCTGGTACAAAATGTCAATAGTGCAAAGCTGACAAACCGTAGCGTACAGAATGTCCTGCAGACACTTCATGCACAACATGGACATGTTAAAAAATAAATCATTACCCCTTTTTTCACCTACTCACTTGTTTCTTGTTATTCCTAATCTGATTAATGGCACCTAGTCTTAGAAATCTTGGGAATAATTTTTATTTCCTATCTCTCCCTCATCAGGCTCATCTATTAGCCACTAACTCCCTCTCAATTCTATTTCCTAAATATCTGTAATCCTTTCTCTTCCCTCAGCTTCCACTGCCTTGGTATGAGTGTAGACATCATTTAGTTTGCAACAGTTTCCTAAATGGACTTCCTGCTTTGAGTCTTATAAATGCTTCTGTCAACTTAAAAAGCAAATTTGCCCATTATTTTATCCTCAAAATTAGTTTATTCGGGAATAGCCAAAACAATTGCTATTCAGGATGTGCATGCTATGGCAAACCATAGGCAAATCCAGAAAACAAAGGAGATGCTTTTATAGAGAAAAAGTAGTAGTAGGGAGGGGCTGTTCTAAAGGAAAGTCCACTGGGGGAAAGTAACAGTTGGAGGCTGCTATGACTTCTCATTGGCTGAGCTGTGGCATTTCTCATTGGCTGGGCTGCTGCTGGCGGGGAAAGAAATCTTTCCGTGGTAGTTTTGCTTCCCGTGGAAGACGCAAGTGTCCTCTTCCCATTTGTGTATTTGACGATGTGTGATAGGGCGTGAGAGCTCCCCCTATAGGCCTTCCCAACTCCAATTTAGTTAGTTTCTTTTCATTTCCACACCTCCAACTCATCCTCCTTGAATAATCTTTCTAACGTGGAAGCCCACTCACATTTCTCCCACTGCGTATAAGACAAAGCCTCAGCTCCCAGGTCTGGCTTACCCTGTGTTTTATTATCTACAGATCTACATTCTGTTGCTTTTCTTCTTGATCTTCTCTCCTAATAAAAACAAAATAAAACAAAACCAACAAAACAAAAAGCTCCATGTTTCACATTTCTCTTTATTGGACATGATTCTCCCCCATTTTGGAATGCCCTCTCCACCAGCCCCCCCCCCCCCCCACCCCCAGGCCCTCCTGAAAATTTCCTCCTGGAAAAATCTGTCTTTTCAAAAGTCTGCTCTGTGCATGTGCATATTTCTGTTGGGACACATTATATACATGCCATCTCAGGTATAAAATCCCAGTTCAAAATTGAAGCGTAAGAAAACAATATATTTTTATTCTACTTAGATTTTAAAATTTTGAATTCCCAGTCTATGAGATGGAAAATCCCAGTAAATTCATCTTCCGCCTCCCTTGCACCTGTGTTGTATTTAAATTCTGGGGAAGCCAACATAGTACCTAAGTTTTGGAGAAGATGTAGGCACCCCTCATCCCTGTACATAGGGCTTCATCAGATTTTGGGGTTCTCTTCTCAGTATCCATGTCTTGCCGGCAGATATTCTCATCATTTTGCTTTTATGGGGCCACACTGGAGCTTGAGAATCTTTCTGAGGCTTTCTATGGCTTCCCCATACCACAGAATTATTCCCTCTCTGGCGTCTTGCCACCTACCCCAGATTACCAGGAATGCAAACACTAGGTCCTTACTCAGGGACCCAGCAGTATTCTCTTTCTTATAATCTTGTTAATATTTTACTTCAGAAGCATTTCCTGTCTTGTGAAAATTTTTTCTCAGAGGCATCTCGAGAATTCTTTCTGCTTACTCCTGTCCCATCTCCACACTTGAGGCAGGGTGAAAAATAGAATGGCTAGTAGCTCCTAAATCTAACAACTCATTGGATACACCTGAGGGAGCTTTTAAACTTGAAGATGCTCCCACCCCCAACTCTGCATAATCAGAATTTGTTTCTTTAAACAATCACAGGAGATCAAGGTCGAATTTTTGAATCTCTCAGTGGTGGGCGTGAGGCAGGACTTCGCTCAGTCTCTTTTTCCTCAAAGTCTCCAAATTTTTTTTCCAACAGTACAGCCAGCCTCTTCCTCTCCTGACTACCCCTCCCCACCGCCCCTCTCCTTTCCGCTCCCTCCACCTTGCAGCCCCACCCCTCTGTTTCCCGCCCCGCTCCACCTCCCCTCCCCGCCGCTCTCCTCTCCACCCTGTTCCACCGCCACCCCCGCCCCCGCTCTCCTCCCACGCCTGCTCCATCTCCCAGCCCGCCCC